TCCAAAACTGTAACGAGACAAAGAAGGTAACTATGCAACAACAAAAGGGTTAATTCGTTCCCCAATACACTAAAAGGATATGGCAGGATATATACATGCACATACAGTGGGTGGTGCTGTTTTTTCGAAAAGATAAACAAAACGGACAAACCTTTCGCTAGACTAAGAAGAAAGGAGAGAGACTCAAACAAAATTGGAAATGCAAAGGATCCTGGGAGATTAGCATGAGCAATTATGTGCCTACCAACTAGATGACCCAGCAGAAACGGATACATTCCTAGAAACATACGGCTTGCCACAGCTTGATTTGTTTCTTAAATCATGAAGAAATAAAATGTGAACAGACCAGGAACAAGGACATTAAATAGTCATCAAAACCTTCCCAACGCAGAGAAGCCCAAGCCAGATGGCTACGCTGATGAATTCTTCCAAACATTTAAAGAATTTACGCCAATCCTCCTCAACCTCTTCCAGAAAACTTGAGGACACGCCCAAACTCATTTTATAAGGCCAGCATTACCCTGATATCAAAGCCAGATGAAGAGACAAGCAAAGTATAAGCCGATATGCCCGATGATTATAGATGTGAAAATTCTCAACACAAGAACCAGCAGACCCTACACCATGATCAAGTGGGAGTCATCCCTGGGATGTGCGGAGGATTCAATACACGTCAGTCAATAAGCGTGACCTACCTCGCTAATAAAATGTAGAATAGAAACTGTACGATCACCTCAGTAGACGCAGAAAAGGCATGCGGCAAATTCCAACGCCCTTTCGTGATAAAAACCCTCTCCACAAATAAGGTATAGAAGGAACGCGCTTCGTCCTAATGAAGGCTGTGTAGGACAAGCCCAGAGCTAACATCATCCCTAGTGGTAAAAGGCTGAAAGCTTATCGTCTAAGATCAGGAACAAGGCAAGATGCCTCCTTTTTTTCCTTCCAGCTTTACTGAAAAATGATTGATAGACACACATCGTTATACAAGTTGAACGCATACAGCGTGATGGCTTGATTTACATGTATCGTGGAAGAATTACCATAATAGGTTCACCTAACATCCATCTTCTCACATAAATACAAAAAAAAAAGAAGAAGAAAAAGAAAAAGGGGACAAATTTCAGAACTCTCAGGATTTACTCTCCTAGCTGTCGCGTACGTCGTAAAGTAGTGGTAACTACAGTCGTCATGTTGTTCGTTACATCCCTAGTACTCGCTTGCTTTGTAGCCGGAAGTTTGGACCTTTTGACCGTCTTCCTCCAGTTTCCCCTCCCTTCCCCGCCCCCACCTGGTAACCACAAGTCTCATCTCTTTTTCTAGGAGTTTGGCCTTTCGAAAGTTTGTTCTAGATTCCACATACAAGTGATACCATACGGTGTCTTTCTCGGAGTCATTTTACTTAGCCTAATTCCTTCAAGGTCCATCCGTGTTGTCGCAAGCGGTAGGTTTCTTTTTTTCTACAAGAGAACGAATTTCCACGGTGGACATAATACCACATCTTCTTTACCCATTCATCTACCCGTGGACACTTAGGTTGCCGCTAGGTCTTGATGATTGTAAACAATGCTGCTATGAACGTAGGGGTGCAGATACCTTTTTGAGTTAGTGTTTTTGTTTCCCTTGGATATATTCCCAGAAATGGAATCGCTGAATCATATGCTGGTTCTGGTTTTCTAATCGCTCTCGCCAGTACTGTGTCGAATAAAAGCGGCAAGAATACTCACTGGAGAAAAGACCACCTCTACCGTAAGTGGTATTGGGGTAATTAGGTATTCACGTGCAAAAGAATCAAACTGGACCCACATTTTACACCACTCGCAAAAACTAACTTGAAATTGATTAAAGACTTAAATGTAAGACCTGAAACCATGAACTCCTAGAAGGAAACACAGGAACAAAGCTCCTTGACACGGGTCTCAGAAACGGTGGTCTGGACAGACGCTCGCAGCACAGGCGACAAGATAAAACATAACCGGTGGGACCAGGGACCACATCCAACTAAAAAGCTTTTGCCCAGCATAAGGAATCACCAACAAAGTGGAAAGACAAGCTACAGGATGAGAAAAAAACATCTGCAAAGCAGGTTATCTGATGAGGAGTTAGTATCAAAACACATAAAGAATTCACACAATTTGACAGCAAAAAAAAAAGGATAACCCAATTAAAAAAATGGACAAAGGACCTGAACAGACATTCCTGCAAAGAAGATCTACAAAAGGTCCACAGGCACATGGAAAGACCCTCATGCTCGCTGGACAACAGGGAAACGCAAACCAAAACCACAGCTGTCAACACGGCCATCGCCAAAAAGACGAGAGAGAACGCTGACGAGGGTGTGGAGAAAAGGGAGCCCTTGTGCTCTGCGGGTGGGACCGCAAAGTGGTGCCGCCGCTCAGGAAAACGGTACGGAGGTTCCTCAAGAAGGTAGAAAAGAAATGATTGTCGGGCCCAGGAGCCCCAGTTCTGGGAACGTATCAGAAGGAAATATAAACCTTTTCTAAACCAACTCACAGTTCTCAACGTGTTGCACAAGTTTTGACATGTCAACCTGCCATTTTTAATTGGTAATTAAAAATACCGATTTCCATTTATGTGACCCACGGGTGATTTTAAAAGCACATTACTTAATCTGCAAACCTTGGCACACATACTCTTTTCTCTCATTAACTTTTAACTTAATCCCACGTGGTCAGAGAATTGCAGGCGGCAGGATCTCAGTCCTGGGCGGTCTGTAGAGACCTTCTTTATGGTCTGGCACGCGGGCAGACTGCGCACTCTTCGACCGCTGGACGCAGCGCTCTGCCGTCAGCTCGGCTGAGTTTCTTCAGCACGTTGGTCAGATATCCCACGCCTAACACTTCCTCTATACTGCGTTTCTTAAATGTTTGTCAAGGATATTAAGCCTGGCATCTTAAAACCGTACAGGATCTTGATGCTTTGTCTCCAGGGCAATAAAAAGGGGCTTTAAAAGTTTAGCTCCTTCCTGCCTGTCCCAACTTACAAGGCAATTTTCTCCAGTATTTTATCGTGTTTGAAAATTTCAATGTCAGATGGCTTTAGGCAGGGCACTTAGACATTATCTGTGTTTATTACCGTTTGTGCCTCCTCCTGGATCTACATTCTTGCTCTTGAAGAAAATTCCTTGCAATTTCCTTTATGGGAGGGATCATCTGTAGGTAATACCTTCATTTTGTTTATGAGAGGTTTTTGAAATGCCATCCAATTCTTTAATGGCTTTGAGATATAATTGAGATGCCAAAAATTTCACCCTTTTACGTGTATATTTCAGTGACTTTTGGCGTATTTACAGAGCTGGGCCAACATCACCACTGAATTCCAAAACCTTCTCATCACCCCACACAAAAGCCCGCCCCCACGAGCAGTCACTGCCCATCTCTCCCCTCCGCGGCCCCTGTGCCCAGTGATCTGCTTCTGCTGCCTCTACCGACTGGCCTGTTCGAAACGGTTCACGGAAACGGGGTCCTGTGATGTGTGGCCTACTGTGTCTGGCTTCTTTCACTCAGGAGGATGTTTTTGAGGCTCGCCTGTGTTATAACCCATGTCCGACCCTCATTCCTTTTTATGGCCAAATAAAATTCATTTTGTGTGTGGCCAGGTCACATTCAGCTTACCCACTCATCTGCCGAGAGACACGTGGCTGTCTCCACTGTGGGGCCGTGAGCAATGACACCACGGCGACCATTTGTGAACATGTTTTTACGTGTGGCCGTGTGCTTTCAATTCTCTTGGGTGTACGAACGCCGTACCCCTGCACGGACACGCCGGGACCGATGGCGACTGTCCCCAGTATCCCTGAACGACATTCAGTTTTAGTGAACGCTCAATTTGGCGTCGAGAAGTTCTCTCTCTCAGTGCCCTGCTGACAGTGCCTGTGCTCCCGACTTCAGTGGGCGTGGAGAGGTGGCCCGTGCTGCTGCTGGGAGCCACCCCACCGCGGGGGGATGTCCTTTCTCTCCAGCTGCTTTCAGAGTGAGCTCTGCCTTTAACCATGTGTGGGCGTGCAAGCATTAGCTTCCTTTTACTTCTTGGGATCTGCTCTGTGTCCGGAATCCCGTAAACGTCATCTTTCTCCCATAACCTCCTTCCGGGATTGCAGACGCATGAACGGGACCTTCCTCCAGCCTTGTGGAGCCGGTCCTCTCTCCCGTTCCCATCTGCGGGAGGATGGCCCCTCCCAGGGACTGTCCTCACCCCCACGGTGCTCTGCTCCTCCCTGGAGGGTGGATGGAGGCGTGGCACGCGGAGGCACCACCCCACTCCCGGGAGCTGCTGCCCGAGCCCGCCTTCACCCCTTAGCAGGTGCTGGTCTAAACTACCCGGCGCAGCAACCCCCAACGGGGTGGTGTGGGAGATACCAACTGTTTGAGATGACAACTTGGAGCGCGCCCGAGTAGGTGAACACAACTTCCTGGTGGGAATCTCCCGGAGCCTCCAGGGTAACTGCCAGAACAGAGGGGACCGAGCGGCCCAGACACTGCCGGAGACACGTCATGCGAAGCACCTCTGGGACTTCGGTTTTGGAACTATCTTTCTTCTTAAAATATAGACGCTAATGCATGCTTCTTTGGGTGTGAGTTTCCCTAAGGATCCCCAGAGCTGTAACTCCGTACAGCTGGGAGAGGCCCGTGTCATTCACCAGCACAGTCTGCCTGCGGAAACTCCCCCAATACCGAGACAGGCTCACGCTGTCCCGAGGGGCACCCGTGTTCGAGAGGGGGCGTGCCATGGCGCGGTGCTTGGCATCTGGGGAAGCCATTCCCGGGCCCCATTACACCGGACTGCAAGAAACAGCCACGGCCCTTTCTTTGACAAGGACCCTGCCTCCAGCGTCAGCACGGCGGAAAGGGCCTATCGGGTGACTTCCCAAGCACCCGCCGGGAATGAGGCCAGCCTCAGGGTGAACCACCTCTCAAGAGGAAATGATACAAAGCTGCTGTGGTCATAAATACATTTTATTTCATTAGAAATGCATAATTAACAGTTTTGAGAGCACTTCCCCCTAGAAAAGTAGGTAAGCAATATTTCCATCAAAATCGTTAGTTGTCTTCTGCAAATACCTATTTTCGTTACACTGAACAGAGCACACGGCAAAAGGCTTCTGCTACTCCACTTTTTTTTTTCAATTTTCTTTTTTGTTATAAACACCATAGCAAATTAAAAAAGCTGTTTGAACAGAGAAAAATATCGTAGTTCTTGATTTTCCGCACGTACTCGATGCAACGCACGCTGTGCTTCCCCACTCTTGTCTAGACGCCGACAGTGGGACAAAAAGTAAGGGTCTTCCGGCAGGGGCAGCGGCCGTTACTGTCACCTTGTATGCATTGGGACACTCTCCCCGGCGGGTGAGGCTTTCAGATGCACTCGAACAGAGCATGTGCAGTCACCTCCGTGCAAAGCCATGGGACCAGGGCGCGTGGAGAACAGGGTGGCTGGCCGGGGCCAGCGCCGAGCACGGCAGCGGCTCTGTCTTAGGTTCTCTTGTGGGTGGGTGGCCCGGCCCGCCTACTGGATCTGGATCGCTCCATGCTCAAGCTGCATTTCAGGCTGCAGGGTGGGCTGCAGGGTCTCAGCCGTCTGCAAGAGGGGAGAGAGGAGGGCTTTCTATAAAAGTACCCACCAATGCAAGCCCGGGTCACATCCAGGTCACTCACAGGTCACAGAACACCAATGGCTCTCGCGCACGGAACAAACACACACAACGGGGCTAGAGAGGGCCAAGAGTCATAGGTTCACCGCTCTGGGAGAAGACTCTCCCAGGGGCCGTGGCCCCTCTTTACCCACCGACCCTCCCCACACGTGCTCTGTGGCCCAACGAGGTTCTGTGCTAATGTCCCGGTCCCACGCCTGCGCATCACTGGGGAATGCCTTTAGAGTACTTAACCCGTCCCATTTACCTAGAATTTTGGTCACCATTTTGCCTTCTTATAAAAACTGCTCCAACGTTCCAGAAAACGTTTCAGGGGCAGTCACCTTTCTCTCCTTAACGAGAGAAGTTCTAATCAATGATCTACAGATATTAAAAGGACCTTAAGTGCATATTCACAGTTTTAAGATAAAGGGAAAAATACGACTTGGAGTAAGTCACCAATCATCCAGCTCAATCATCCCGAACAAGCCCCGGAACAGAGAATAACTGGGTTTTTTCTTCAGGCTCCCCTACGCCGTTGGCCAAAGGCAACGTCACAAAGATCGGACCCTCAGAGGTGGGTTTCCGGCTGCCCTGGCAGGAAACTTGGTTGCAGAGGCCAGGCATGCGGGTGTGAAGGAAGAAAGAGGCAGACAGCCACGGATGCTGGCGGGCAGGAGCCCCCTGCAGCTCTTACCGCAGACTAACGCTTCAGTTTTGAAATCTGAATATCAAATGACATTGCACGCGGTGCGTCCTGAAAGCGGGGCGGGGCCCTTGCAGTGGAAGGACGTGGCGCAGGCATGAGCCACACGGCCCACGGAGCCCAGGACTGAGGGCGGGCAAGAACGGCCAGAGCATGAACCTGCGAGGCACAGCGGAGGCGACCACACATCTCTGGGAAATTTCTGGGAAAGTGGACTCAGCCGTGTTGGCGGCTGCAGGCAGAGGAGGCAGGGTGGGTTACAGGCCGGGCAGAGAGGCCCCTGTGGGAGCGAGAGTCCTTCCCCACCCTTGAAAAACCAGAAAGGCAGCTTTGGACCCAGGCAAACAGAAAGCGGAGCACAGATGAGGTGGGGACCTGCCTGGGATTCAGGGACACCCCTGCTCTGATGAGGACCCCTCCCTTCTCCTGTGTTCTCAAAACGCAGCACCAGACCTGTGTCTCGGGCAGGAAACGTAGAGAAAGGGCTCCAAGCAGACGAGTCAGAACTTTCGAGATGTTTGAGGGGACGGAGGCAGCGGGGAGCCCTGGGCACCCACAAAGGTGAGAACTCGGGCACCTGCCTGGGCACAGGCACTCACTGCCCTTCCTACTGGCTGCTCCATGGGGCCAGTGCCCTGGCCTCCTGCCCAAGAGAAGCCCATCCTCTCAGGAGCTTGACGGCTCTTACAGCCCCTGGGGGGCTCCTGGGGGACTCTCATCTCTTCCAGGAGCGAGTTCGGGTATGTGACCCCGTTCTGATGGGCAAACCCGAACCGAGAGGAAACCTACAGGAGCGGAGGCCTTGGTGCTGATGAAGAAACAGGAGCCCTTTCCCTCTGCAGACGTGGTCGCGTCTGTGTGAGGCACCAGCGGGGCCACGGAAGGTGAGGGGACAGGAGCAGCAGGCTCCGGGGACATGCATGGGGGGCCGGGCCTGGGGCCACCCTGCTGCCGTGTGACCCACTGACTATTCAAGCCCATGCCGAGTGGGGTCTGCTACAGGGAAAACACCCCAGTGGGTGCAAACCTCATTCTCTGGCCTGTTCTTATACAGACGCGCTAAGTGGGTCCTGAGACCGGCCAGGCAGGAATGTGGACCAAGAACACAGACAGGAAGCCCAGGGCGGCAAAGAGCGAAGATGGACACGGCCTTCCTCCACCCTGAAATGTGTCAAATGACCGCGGACCCGGGCCGGTGAGACAGCTCGGCACACGGCATCCCGGGTCTGTGGTGCACGCCGTGTGACCCTTCTGCAACTGCCGGGCAGCGGGGAGGAGAGCCGCCTTCGTGCAATGACCCCGCTTACGACCACACGGGGCATCACACGAGCCACCTGGCGTGGGACAAGGCAGGCCCGCAGGGGGGCTCTCTCTTCCAGGACAAGTTAACGCCCAAACCACCGAAATGGGCCAGCCAGAGAGAACGCCACCTCATCCCCCAACGCCGTGGGCTCCCGGTCACGCCCAACCCCTCTCGGTTCACGTCCAGGGTGGGGTGGGCCGCTGCGGTCACCGCTGCACGAAAGCCACACCGGGCTGCGGTGGCCCCTCACGTGGGAGTGGCCGGGGTGGCCTGGTGGGTGGTGGGGACTGAGAGGCGGAGAGGCGGCGCCTTCTCCAGGAACCGCGTTTGCCAGCTGGGGCCTCGCCGCGCATTAGGAGGTAAAAAACCGAAGTCTCCCGAGAGCGCCTAGTCTACCCAGCCGGCCACCCGGTCACGAGGTCGCCCCAAGCACCCTGGCTGGCTCCACCGAACTCCACTCCTCGGCAACCACCTCATGGGGCTGCAAGGAAAGCAGAGAAGAATTTTCCTTCCTGCCGAGAGCTGAGCACACGCACAGCACCGGCACGGGGCCCGAGCGGAGCATGAGAGGGGAGAGGGCTGCGTGGAAATCCGGGGCCTCGGTTCCGTGCGTCAGAGGCCCGTGGCATCGAGACACACACCGCTCCTCAGTGCCGGGATGCAGGAGTACAGGAGCGGCCCAGAGGATGGCAGGGTGTACGAGAAGGCCGGCAGGAGCCGACCGGCCAACGCTCGGGGCAGACGGGAGTCCTGCGTCAGAGGTGATCTCGGCCTGGGCTCGGCAGGAAGGCCAGCGAGGTTTCAGAACACGGGCCACCCGCGGCCTGAGCTTTGTGCCAGCAACCCCCGTGGTCCGGGGACCCGTCCTAGGTTACTCTCACAAACACACAGTCGCCCCATCGGATCGAGAGCATGCCGTCCCCTCGAGGGGGCCTCCAGCGGGCTCTTGGCCTTAGCGTGGGGGGCCCGGGCCTGGCTCCCCAGACCCAGGAGATCCGAGGAGAGGTCGTTCACGGTGTTCATCCGGCCAAGCGCACTCACCAGGGGGCAGCTCTATAAACGTGTCAAATCCCCAAGCAGCAGCCCCCTTATCTGACATCTCGGGACGTGTCCAGACCGTTTCCTGTGCTTCTAGGAGAGCGCGGAGACGAGTGGTTTCTGGGACGGGAGGTGGGGGCCGGGGAGCCAGCGCTCAGCCCATCAGACGGTGCGTAGAGTACGCACAAACTGAGCGGAGGGAACCCTGGGCCCCAATGCCCGTGTGGCTCCCAGCGAGGCCTTCGGCTGCCACGCAGGGGGCGCCCAGGCGGGAGGCTGGAAACCAGGCCAGACGGGGCCCCTCAGGACCGAGTGAAGCACCATCCTGCATTTGTGCCACAGAGAAGAGCCACTGGGGACAAGGACCCACAACCCGCCCCTGGGAAAGGGTCAAGGCCGAGCCACAAAGGCAGAGCCTGTTGTCTGCACGAGTGCTGACCTCTGGGCCCTGCCACTCTCAGAGCAGCAGCGAGACCTTGGTAAACAGGGACCCCTCTCGTCCTGCAGTCCCTGGGAGCTGGCCCCGTGGGGTCAAGAGGCACAACCGGATGCTGGCCCCTGACCTTACAGATGAACACCTGGCGGCACGTGGGCCGGGAACCAAGCCCTCGCCTTCACTGCTTCGGGCACTTACAAAAACTACCGCCCACGTCGGTGCCCGTGTCCAAGTCACGTGCCTTTCCGTGACAATGGATCTGCTTTCTGTGAGGGACATCGGAGGCTTGAGCTGTGCTCAGAGCTGCAGAAGCCCGGGATCCAGACCCAGGATGTAGCTAGCTTCCCTTGAGGTGGGGACCCACCTGAGCTGCAGCGGTGTGGTCAGTCACCGGAGCCAGCTGGACGTACTGGACCTGGATGTCGCTGCCCTGGAGAGGTGAGCCGTCCACAGCAGCAGGAGTCGAGGAAAGAGGTACGGCTATCAGCTGGGCCCCTTGCAGCACCTGGAGAGACAAAGCAGACCCCGTCAGCACGGACACCGGTGCCACTCCGCCGTGACCACGTGAACCACGGGGGACGGGCCCAGGACCACACCGCGGGGCCCGTCTGTCTCGTGAATGACCCTGGAATGACATCCGACCGGCAACCCGGCGCCTGTATGGCGCGAGTGTGAGCATTGAGCACGCGTGGCGTGACCGACTTGTGCAACGCGTGCAAGTGACCCCCTCAAGCACCCACACACTGGACACGAGTGAGCTCAGGGACGGGGCCGAGGGTGCCGAGAGAGGGGCAAGGAGGCAGAGGGACGTGGGACAGAGGCAGGGGCCCCGGACACCTCCCAGAAACCACTGCTCTTTGAGGTTCTTGGGGGCAGAACCTGAAGGCAGCCTGGAGGAGACAGAAAACGGCGGCACGTCCTCGACCCGCATCCGCCGGAAGCCCCCAGAGTGCTCAAGAGCCAGGCACACAAAGAAACCAAGCAGCGGACGCCCGCAGTTATGAAGCAAAGTGGAGACGTGCCTGAGTCAGGGACCTCACGGCTGCGGGCGGTGCGGAGAGGGGCTCAGGGTGAGGAGCTGCCATCAGGAGGGAGGTCCGAGACGCTGATGGAGGGGAACCCCCCGGGGGACGGGAGACCCCGAGTCCCCGGGACACCCACTGTGGGCCGTGCCGACAGGAGGGGGCAGATGAGGCCCCGGGGGATGGGCTCTGGGTGACCCCACCACTTGTGAGCGACCCCACCCCCAGGCCCAATTCCCACCGCCCCCCCAACAGCTGGGCAGGTGGGCCACCGCCTCGCTGCCCCGCAGGCCAGACGGGGAGGTAGGGGTGAGGGCATCCGTGGCTTTGCATCCACGAGGGAGCTGCCGTGAACCGTGCGTGTTTATACCCGGGGTCGTATCCCACCCCCCTTCAAACGATGCGTCCACGGGATCACGGATGCTTGCCGGCGGTCCACAGCAGGGCGGGAATGACCGTGCCTCCCTACCGGCCCGATTGCCTCCCGCACCAGTGGTCAGAGCTGAGGAAGAGGGTGAGGGCACTGAGAGAGAGGAAGGGGCTGCTCAGCCCGGGAGAGGCGAGCTCGGATACAGATCTCCAGCAGTCTGGATAAAAACACAGTCCGTGGTTTTTAAACGGCACTGTAGTTTTTGACGAGCAAAAGTTCTATTTCTGTAACGATGCGTCCGCCGCTGGAAAAACACAGATGAGTTCAACTCTCAGAAAAGAAGACGGCAGACGGCTCTCAACTACCCCTCCTCGTGTGTCTTCAGAAACCACTTGCAGGCAGTGTCGTGTTCTAATACCAGCCAGCTGTGCCAGGAAGATGAACCCCCCAGATCCTAACCCTAACCCTAACCACGTCCTAGATATGGCAGAGGCACCTGCAGGCAGGACAAAGGCGAGGACACGGAGACAGGGAGTGTCCTGCGGCAACAGGTGGGCCCCACGTCACACACCACGTTTCCCAGCTGCGGAGGGGCAGAGAGGGGCCAACCGCTGGCTTGGAGGATGGGGGACGGGGGATGAGGACGGGCCACCCGCCAAGGGTGCGGCAGGCCTGGAGGCTGGGGCAGACAGGAAACGATTTGCCCCTGGGGCCTCCGGGAGGAGCCAGCCCCGTGACAGTCTGACCACAGCCCCGTGAGCCCACACTGGGCTTGTGACCTCCAGACCGTGAGAGAACGAGCCTCCGGCGTGAGCCTGCAAGCGTGTGCTCACCGGTCACCGCAGCCACACTCGCACGACACGCCGGCCTCTCCTCGGCCGTCTCCTTCCAAGGAGCTGGCCTCCCACTTCCAAGGGCTGACCCAACGACGACGACGGCGCCTCTTCCACCATAATCATGAGCCATTTGTACCAACGAGTGTTTGAAAGAAGGGTTTGAAAAAACCAGAGAAAACCAAAGACCCCGTAGCATTCACGTTTTCTCTTCCCGGGACTTACTCTCCACCAGATTGCTCACGGTCAGAGAGAGGACCCGGTCCTGCTGAGCTCCGTACCTCCACCCCCCACGTGGCAGGGGTGGCCCCCACTCCCTCTCCTCTAACTGGCGGAGTCACGCGAACAGGTGTGTGGCTCAGGGGAGGGCTCGCACAGGGGCGGCAACTCGGCCTCACGACGGCTAGACCAGAACGGGGAAAAGACGAAAAGCACTTGGTGGTAAGTTCTCAAAGCTGCACAGACACTTACGGTGTCCTCGGTGCCCTTCAGTGGGGGGGGAGAAGGCGGGAGGAGGGGCCGGAGCGGGGGACCCGTGCAGCGAAGCCACCCCCACTTAGCATGGTTTTGCTGCACCCCGGACTGAACTTAAAAACCACACAACGTTTTGAAACCCGGGAGCTAAAGCATGAGGTAACGCAGTCACCACTGCGCGATACAAAAGATCCCTGAATACGCCGGTTTAGGGTCAGATCGTCAACTATGTTTTCGTGAAAGCCGCGCAGTCGTGGGGCCGTTTCCAGGCGAGGCTCCGTCTGACTCTGGCCCTGGCCGTGAGCCACCACCCCTACGATGGAGGGCAGGTTACGGTTTCCTGAGGGCGAACTGTTCCCTGTCAGCACTGCCAACGAGGTGACTTTTCACACGAGCCACACGATTGAGTAAATCGCGAGAACTGGAACGTCAGAAACCGCAGCATCGAACGTGCTTCCTTATGGTATCGAAGGAGGCACATCCCCAGCCTGGCTGGTGAGTGAAAGTAAAGATAGGAAAACGTTTCCACCTGAGACTTCATTCCAAACACCACACATCCTCAACGTGCCCGCACTGGTGGCTCTTGACGGCTGAGTCGGGAATGAATCCAAGCCAACGCGCACAGGACTGGCGGGAAAGGCCTTCTGGGCACTTAGCAACCTGCCCTTGCTCACCACGGGGACCTCAAAGCCAAGGGCTGGGGACGTGGCCGGAAGGGGGCGCCGCGCTGCCCCAGGAGAAAGGGAGGCGGCAAGAGCCCCACAGGGGGACAACTTCTCTGGGGACCACAGGGGACGGAAAGGCTGCTGGGGGGCTGCGTCAGGAGCCGGGCTGGCTGTGGAGGAAGCTGTGCGGGGAGGCTCCACCGAGACCCGGATCACAGAGTGTCTTCCAGGCTGGCTTCACGCATGCCGACCTCCAGCAGCCCCGGGTGGGGAAGGCGCCCCCGGGACCCGGGACCCGGGACCCGGGACCCGGGACCCGAGACCCGGGACCCGGGACCCGAGACCCGGGACCCAGGCCACTGCCCCAGCCTGGCCTTGCTCACCGGCTTCCCTTGCAGCTACACTCAGGTCCTCGAAGGGCACGTCCCCCACCACGGGCTGACCTCCACACACATCGGCACCCCGGCCGGGGCTCTGCCACAGGCAGAGACCTCGCCACACAGAAGCGATCTGCGACGCTTTTCAGGTAGTCCTCAAAATTTGGAAAAGCTCTCTTAAGGGGAGGTTGAGGGAGAAAACACACAGGGAGGAAGGAGAGGGCAAGACACTGCTCTGCCCGTGGGGAGCTCCCTCCCAAGCCCAGCCAGCCGGGCCTCTCAGGGCTTCCTTGTCACACCGCAGTCCGGCAGACAGACGTGGGGGCCTTGTCTCACCCGGGGCCACAAAACGGCATCCACGACCTGGACCTACGCGGCAGAGTCTGCTCTCGCCCTGAAGGGAGGACGAAAGAGGAGAAGGTCTAGAAGGTCGGACCGAAGGACGGCCAAGTCACAGATCACTGGTTTCCCAGCCACCGGAACACGTTTATTAAGAGCAGGTTCGAAAGAACCTCCGTGAGCTTGTGCACAGAGGGCACGTCACGACCACTGACTGGCCGGCACCCCTGTGGCGTGAGGAGGGAAACCCACCGACCGACAAGTGTATCAGTCTACCCTTCACCTAGTGCCGTGTAACAATCAAAGAATGAGCCGCACTAACCGAGCAGGGCTTGGGACAGGACCCCTCCTTTCTAGGCCACAGTCAGGGCAGAGAAAGGTGTCGGTGACCAGGGCAAGGCAGGCCGGGACCAGGGCATACAGAGAGGCACAGAGACAGCGGTTAAGAGGAGAGGGCCCGGCAGGTGGCGCCCCACAGGGCCTCGGAGAGGCTCTCAGCCGGAGCCACTCACAAGGAGGCCAGGGGGCAGGGGACGGTCCGCTCTGTCACGTGCCCCCGCCGCAGCTGTGATTTACTGGGATAACACACTTCACGTGAAGCGGGTGAAAGTAGAAACACTACAGAAATCAATCACACAAGAATCTCATTTGCCTGCCGTGGTTTGAGAGCAGCTCAAAGCTCCAGCAGCCGCCTGAAACGCACAGCAGGCGGAGACACGATGTGTACACTTGGACCTGCTTTCAAACTGGTGACGAATAAAGCCTAGTTACGTCAAATCGAAAATACAGAGCAGCAAAAATGAGGTCACGTGCCACTGTCGCACGGATCACGGTGGCGCCCACCGCAAGCGCGCAGCCCATCCTTGCCCTGTTGGGGGGCGAGAGCCCAGCACCGCCGCCTCCCTCCTGCCCTAGAAGGAGTGGGACGTCTCCGATGGTGAGCTCCCGGCTCCTTCCCACCTTGGTGTCTGTGGCCTTTTCCAACAGGGTCGGGAATGTAGAAAAATCTAACAGGAATGCAGCGAGCTCCCAGGCCAGCAGCTAAAAGCATCCATCCAGGCTTCCTGCGGCTGACCTGGGAGCACCCCACGGCCACCCCGCGGAGAACGCACGCACCTGCTGCCTTCCCAGCCTCACGGACAGGGCTTCCCCACACAGTAGTGAGACAGGCCCGTCACTGGCAGACGAGGGACCATTAATGGCATAGGGGATGCGTCTGAAGCAGCCTACGGAGGGACTCCTGGATCCAAGAGCACCGGATTTTGGAGGGCACCCATCCGGTTTCCCTCTATACGGTGCCAACTGTGAGACTGTTTAATGCCCAGATGAAATAATACAAAACAGCTACAAACCTAAAATAAACTCAAGAAGTCCAAGGACTTTTCAGTAATGTTTAGATACAAAATTCCAAACCCAAGCCGGAATGTGCTCAGATGAAACAAAACAAAACCTAAGATCCACTTCTGACTAATTAAGTGTGGGTGGCCAGGAACAAAGATGAGGCCAGGAAATCCAAAGGTGTCTTGGAACACAAGGTCGCTTACTTGTTTTTGTCATTCATCTTGGCATCCGACTTGTTAAGGAAACGGACTCAAGGAGAGCAATCTTTTCAAATCTAAACGTGAAGGCAAGAAGTAGCTTCCCGGTGACAGGAAAACAAGGAGCTGAGAACCAGGTCCGTCAGCCTGTCCCAAGGATGTCCCCAAGCACCATTGGCCAGGAGGTCCGCCAGCCCCACATCTTTCTCGTACATTTGC